TTAATTTTTTTTTAAATTTTAATTTATGTGGAATACCTGTAAATTAGCTGGTGTGTCATTTTATTTTTTATGTGATCATGTCACACCTTCATAGCTAAGTGTATTACACAATAAACTTGTATCTTAAACAAATGGTACAATGATTTCTTATCCGAACTGTTTTTGCGGACTTGAATATTTTGTAACCTTTCAGTTTCTTAGGCCCAGTTCAGACGCCGTACTTCACATGAGCCGAATCGAATTCGAATTTAGGCCGACCCAAATTAATTTAGACCGGCTGAATTGATTCAGACGCCGAGCTTAATTCAGCCGAACTGAAATTAATAGGGAAAATTGCTGTTATATTGAAAAATACATTATAATAATTCATGCATTTGTTTCGGCTCATGTGAAGTTCGGCGTCTGAATCAAAACCGGTCCACAGCCGTTATTCCCGGCTGAGACAGGCGGGAAGAACGGCTGAGCCGATCCGAATTCAATCAGCCGTTCCGAATTGATTCAGACGCCGTACTACACATGAACTTAATTCATCGAATTCGATTCGGCTCATGTGAAGTACGGCGTCTGAACTGGGCCTTACACTGATATTCCGGATTATTACAGACTACTCCCCCCTGGCTACTCCTATCCTTCTATAAACTAATGATGATTGTTTAAAAATACTGAGCTTGCCTTAAATTAAGGAATCCTTCACTGTTGGAACAAGTTACCATTAAATTGATGTAAAAATAATCTACTCCGAAAATGTATCAGAAAACCAGAAAAAAATTATTTCAGTGTTAAAGAAAAAACTGGCTACAATTATCTGCCATTTTGGGTTTCAAATTTTAAGCCTCAAAATGGCTGATGCTTGTATCCAATTTTTCCGTACACCTTGAACGTTTTTCCAATTTATTTCAACAAATTTTCAGTTTAGACAATATTTCCAACAATTTAACGGCAATTTGTTCCATAAGTGGAGGTTTCCATTAATTAATTAAAAACGCTGATGTATAAAGTTTCTTTTTGAGAACACTAACGTCTATACTATGCCATAGCATTTCAATTTCCCCAGTGTGTGGTAACCTTGCTCGCCGCTGTCCCCTGTATCTCCAAACCTGAGCTGTTTAACTGGCAGATGTGTCTTGTCAGTGAGGAGACCGCTGTCTTCACGCCATACAAAGTCATTCTTATCACAGTTACAACCAAGACTGGAGTCTGCGCATGAGTTGGTCATCCCGCATGCGCACTTACCACTACCAGGGGATGCTCCGCCCCAGTACGTCATCTTAGTAGAATCACGTGATACCAACCAGGCATATCCGCCGCTGTTAAATATCATTGAACCATAACACTCATACTTGATAAGCTGTTCACAGTGCGAGGAGACTGTTGTGAGACTCGCCAGTTGAGACAGACTCGCTCCTGTGTAATGAATGTCACGTGAGTAACAACCAGCAGGCTCACATCCCTGCACGTACGTTCTGCTTTCACTGTCGTGACTAATGACTGTCACGCCAACTCCATTCTTGTCACTCATGTCACAGTAAACTGTAAAAGGTGCCAGGCCTCCCGCGCCATCCGGATCAATGACGTAATTTCCGCTTACACTGACGTATTTTCTGATCTCGGAGCAGGAATCATTATAGGGATGGTAGCAGTTGAAGCCATCTCCGGCGTAACCATGGTTACACTTGCATGAATATGAGCCTCGTTCATTTATGCAGGTGGCAAACTTATGACAGTCATGTGTATTTCGTTCACATTCATTTAGGTCTGTTGAATAGATGAGAAAAATGTAATCAACTGCGGAAAACTAGCAGGTTGACGAGAAATTCAAAGAAAATGACGACGCTTGAGAGTTTTAAGCAAAACATGTTTCTTGCCGAAAACTCATGAAGTGTCGTCATTTTCTTTAAATTTCTAGAGTTGTATGCAGTCAGCTGTGTTGGGACAAAAGCGAACTAATATCAATTCTCCTTTCTGATTGCATATATGTCTTTTAACATTAGTTTTGAGAATTTGATAGAACATCAATAAAAATATTTCCCTTTTCAGTGTGCTTGCTTTTATGCTTACGTTGTTGCGTCGCCCGTGGAAACCGGGATAACGCGAGCGCGAACACAAGAAAACTGAAAAGAAGTCACAACTTGTCAGCGGAAACCTTCAGCGTCCGCCATATTGGATTCCCACGATGCCATGCCTGCGTGATCAACATTATGTCAGCTTGTGCTTGTGCTTGTGCTTATCGCACGTGTGAACACCCTTGCGCTTATGCTTATGCTTGCGACATACCGAGATGAAAGCCAGCTTTTACAGAGCAACTTAACCATCAACGCTTCTCTCTATTAATTTTATATTATTGTTTTGTAGACTTACCTTGTTCCAAAGGCAAAAAATAAGCGAAATCATAGCTAAGCTAACTTCATCCTAACTTTGTGATATTTTAAATTTATTATTTTCTATCGTCTCCAATCCTAATAAACATTTATTAATTTCTTACGTACCTTTCTTACAAGTATACTGATGACAATCGCTGCACTGCACGTCATTCCATTCATAGCTGTATTTCACACCAAGCGCGTGCACACAATCTTCTTCTTTATAATCATTTGGCTGATTCTTGGCCCATGCTGTAAAGTTCCCTTCTCCGCGATCCGCCCAAGTAAAGTTACCCTCCACTGACATGTCATTCAAGCCCAGCCAGGATTTTTCTCCATTATGGCGATGTTGTATGTAAACATTTTCTTCATTGTTGCTGACGTCAACAAGAGTTGAGTTTTCCTGTCGACAATTGGTCAATGCTATGGTCCAGTTTTTACATGATTCACTTGTAAAGTAACAGTAGCCGTTGAAATAGCTCCATCCAGGGTCACAGATATCTGCAAAAATATCAAATGTCTGTTATATAGAGGGTTTATACCTTACTTAACTACTAAATCTAACTTGAACTGCCACCATTTTGTTTTTCTACCAGTGCCCGGTAAAAAGTACAAATTGAAGTGTTTACTAACCTGTAAGTACCGCATAACTCACTGACACGGGATCATATCTTGTCTCGTACAATTCCTTGATACATGCTCTGAATCCGGACGTATTCATGTTCTGCAAATGTAAAGCTAACTTAGCACTGAGTGTGTGCTACTACTACTGCTTCGTAGATAAAGCTTAGCAGAGACCTAACAGCATGCATATGTTTATGAGGCCTTAGCTCGTATTTACTTTGACCGCATGACTGATTAATATAATTCAACGTCCTGATGGCATATAAAATAGCTTATTAAAATCTACTGGCTGAAGCTAAAATGTCTACAACTTACACGCTACAGTAGTAGAGTGAAAAACTTGTAGGAATTTACACGGAAGTAATTTTTTCTTCCCAATTCATGAATCATTTCATTATAGAATGGAAGCGTGAAGTAAATAAAATAACTTTCTCTAGTGATTTCACTCGGTAACAAATATGTCCAAAAATGTAACACCAATTCAAATCCCAAACAGCACATCTAGCAACGAAAACCCGACATATAAGTAAGGTAGCCACAAAAAAAGTAAAGAATACAAAATATTCCTTTTGGTTTCGTGTTACATTCTCTTTTGACATAGTCAGGTACTTTTATGACAACTCCATAACCAGTTGTAACTACTGTACTTTGCAGCTCTGACCAATGCTTTACCTCAATCCATGTTACGATACCGTTATGAACTGGTGCCGAGTTTCCACTTGCCGTTGTGCTGTGATTGGCTGATATCAAGACTGATGGTGTTGTCTTATAACTTCGTGTAAACAGCACAAACTGAGATATGAAACAAATTAATCATTGAACCTTTCGTCAAGCTAGCTGTTTCTTAACTATTATTTTTTTGCACATTCTACTTAACTTACGCATAGTTATTTATTTAGCTACATTCGGCTTCTGATTGGATAGTCTGCACACACGAAAGAATGTGAATTAATTAAAAGGGCTCTTTGCTGTAACTTACCTTGCAGTAAGCGTTGTTATTTTCATCTGTTGGTGGATTTGTGTTTGGAAACCTGACAGAGCCATGTTCAGTGAAGAGAGGCTTATGCAGGGTAGAAAACGCCAACCAGTTCTGTAATAAAATGTCATGGATTTTAGCTTACAGATTTCCTTCGGTCATAATGTATCTAGAGCTGACAACTAAAGTTGAACTGTTTCCTTTCCTTGACACGATAGACTGCGACCATTCCCTCGTTTCCCTTATATTGTGTTAAAATAATGGATTTACCGTCTTTGTGGTTGACTTTATAACCTAAAAAATATACACACTATATTGCCAGTGAGTACTCTCTGTCAAACTTGGAAACCCTCTCGTTTTGTTTTATTCCTTTTTTCTTTTCTATTTCTACTTTGCATCCTTCTGTGTGCAAAATGCGTTTTCTGCAATTGTTTTCTTTCTTTCTTTGACGGTTTTCTCTGCTTTTTCAACTGACGACTGTACCCTCATAAATATTCTAAATTTTAATTCTGGAGTGCACGTCCACAAGCTGCTCAGTGAGTACGTACCACACTAATATCTTCATGCTTTCCATCAAAGTTTTGCAGTTCCCGGAGGCAGACTTTCAGTGAAACTTTGGTTACATCCTCGGTCCAGATCAGCGCGGCATCATACTCGTTACCAGTCCTTAGATGCTCTGCTGTTACAAGTACTACAGGCGCCTCCTTAAACCTGCCCTGTATTCAGAAAAAGTAAAATGGAGAAAGTGAAATGAAATTCCGCGGGACCGACATGTACCGTATAACTGCATGTATATTGATTCAATCGCCATTCCGACCACTCAAATATAACAAATTTTGATATTTCAGCTTACTACACCAGACTAGGTTTATAGATAGTGCTCGCCAACTTTCGAGCAACTTCAATTTCCAGCAACGTTTTCCTTCCGGAGCAAGCAGGCTTCTCTTTACAACAGCTGACCGGACAAACACACAACTAACACTTGAACTGTGGAAATCTTCAGAAGCGGTCTTCAGTAATCTTCAGTACTTCAAGTGGGAGGCGCTGTGGCCTAATGGTTAGCGCGCTGGACTCAGGATCAAGCAGTCTGGGTTCGAGCCCTGGCCGGGGTCATTGTGTTGTGTTCTTGGGAAAGACATTTAACTCTCATAGTGTCTCTCTCCACCCAGCAGTATAAATGGGTACCGCGCGTGCGTGAAAGGGCGAAAGGTCATTTCGAGTTTTTCGATGAAAATGTCGCCCAAATGGTCAAAATGTGACCTTTGGAAATTCAACGGTCTATTTATTGCATAAGCTGAGCGACAGTTTCTCACAAAAGAAAAAAAGTTTTCCGAAAATTCATAGTCTATACTCTAATTGATCATTGCTCTCGACCAATGAGCGCACGAGAATTCTACCAGATATTGCCAGATATCTACCAGATATTGCAAATTCACTTTCTGGTTTAAAACTTTACATAAATCTCTCAGGAAAATAGCAAATAGGGATGCAGCTCATCCTACCTTTGGAAAAGTTACATCTTCACAATTTGTTCCAGACCACCATTTTTGGATCTTGATAACTCCCGTCATTCCTTCGGGCGGTGCTCCCTGATACGCCATCCAATCAAAAGTCGCCAATGAATTCAAGTTCTTTCTCTTTCTCCCAGATTGCATTGCGCAAACTGTGAAATTCTTTGTGTTAATGTTTTCAGTCCATGAAGTAATGGCGTCGTGGACAGTGTCAGAATCGTTTATATTCATGTGATTGACCGTTATCTGTACATGAACCTGCTTGTCCGGATAAAACCGGTATGGCGGAAAAGCGACCGTCTGGCAGCTTGAATCGGACCACTTTGGAACACGAAGAAGTTCCACGCGACCGCGCACAATTGGAAAACCTGTTTAAGAAAATGAAAAGAAAAACTTAGTTTGACCGATCACTTGGTTAGATTGTCAAATCTTAGAAATACTGATAAATGGAAAATACGCCTAGGGTCCCATCCTCGGAGACCCAGGGGCAGTTATTGGGGCACTCGCCCCCACTAACTGCTCCTGAGTCTCCGAGGATGCTAGGGTCCCGGATGTAGTTTCGTATGAATTTTGCGAGTGGTTTATTTTCCAGTAAAATACTCGTGTCTATACAATAAAGGCAAATATGGCACGCAGCGGTGAACAAATCATTGATAACAAAATTTGTCGTTGTGTTGTGGCTTGGGCAAGGTACTTTACTATAACTGAGTGGCTCTCTTCACGGGCAACCTGAAAAAATGCGAGAAGCAGCCGGGGGGAGGAACCTGCGATGAACTGGCATCCCATTCAGCACGTCTTCTTCTATCCCTAGGACTGTTAACAGAAACTTACCCTCGCAGCTTCCTGGGTGGTACACACGATTATTTTCCAATCCCTTACAGTAGCTCAACTCATGCCAACATTTGTTGTCATAGCTTGTTCCGTTCGCGGTACATACGGGATCTTGATAGGAGGGGCAGTCTTCGTAACACACACAGCGAGCTTCACGTGCACTGTAAGTTTTACAAACTCCAAAAGATGGACAATGTACGTCAAGGCATGGATTGAGGTCTGTGAAACAAAATAATATTATGGAGTTGGACCTTAGGTTACATACAAACATACAGTAGTATGTATGTAACCATGCAGTATCTATTAAAATAGAAAGATCTGTGAAAAACTAGCCAGCTGTAGCAGTACGATTGCATTACAATTTGATTTCATAACTACACTAACAACCAATGATACTTTTATGCACGTGATCAAGTGCGAACATTTTCTTCTTTTAAGAATAATAAAAAAATACCCACCAGTTAGTAAAAATACGGTTGAAGTTAAGATGCGATCGCTTTAAAATTATCTGCACTCCTAATCATTACTTGGAATAATTTATTCTTAAATGGATCATTGTAACTTGATTTTCTCATACCAGGTCATCGAATTACTCTGCCAGAATTTAGATGATACGCAGTATAAAAAAAACTGACCTCCAATCACAGCATAGCTGACAAACAAAGGGTCGTGTTCACTTCCTGTTCCACTCAAGTCTCTGACGCAAATCCTCATGGATGTGAGACCAACTTCCTAAAAGGAAGATGAAATGTTGGAACGGAAATGAATTTTAATTATCCAACTTCAGTCAGTAGAGTACAAACAATGCACGGAACGAGTACAAATATCCCGCGATATTGTACAGTTAGTTATTTTGTACAGTTAGTCAATCTCGTTCCCAGAGTCCTCGTTACCCTTGTCCAGCGGCGGAACGGGCAACAAGGGTCCCTGGAGGGGAAGCATTCTCGTCCCCAGAGCTACGCGGTTTTTTTAAAATGTTGTGACCAGTTGTGACCAAAAGAAACGGAGGATCTGGGAACGAGAATGGAAAGGAAGCGATCCGCCGTGACAGGATTCCTGGACTTCCGGTTCTACTGCGCATGTGTTCTGGGATAGAGTGATCCGACACAGCGGCAAAATGAGTGCGCGTGCGCCAACCTGCTCGCTCATTTCCATACAAACATAATGGCGGCAATTCAAAATTCCCGATATTTGTTTTCATTTCGCGTGGATAAGGCCGTCACGGAACAGATAAGGTTTTTACTTTGAAAACAATTCCGAGAGAGACTCTTCTTTCACATATCTTTTTTAGCAAACTAATTATCTTTTCCACAATAGTGAATTTTTCGCTCGAAGTCGAGCGATCGTAAGTGAAACATGAACTCTTTGAGCTATGTTTTCGTGTTTCACTTACGATCGCTCGACTTCGAGCGATAAATTCACTATTGTGGAAAAGATAATTAGTTTGCTAAAAAAGATATGTGAAAGAAGAGTCTCTCTCGGAATTGTTTTCAAGGTAAAAACCTTATCTGTTCCGTGACGGCCTTATCCACGCGAAATGAAAACAAATACCGGGAATTTTGAATTGCCGCCATTATGTTTGTATGGAAATGAGCGAGCAGGTTGGCGCACGCGCACTCATTTTGCCGCTGTGTCGAGTAATCCATGGAGTCGAACACATGCGCAGTAGAACCGGAAGTCCAGGAATCCTGTCATGGCGGATCGCTTCCCCTCCAGGGGTCCTTGTTGCCCGTTCCGCCGCTTGACAAGGATAATGAGGACTCTGGGAACGAGATTGACAGTTAGTTATTTAGTTTCTATGGATAACGTAAGCGCGCGCTTGATATTCTATTTTTTTGACGGTCTAAAAGCAGTTGTTGGTTAATAAATTTTCCGGACTCGTCAAAATGCAGCACAACGAGTACAAATGTACAGCGATAAGTACTACATACTTTTAAACTGTCTACTAAGATACCTGTATCAATTTTTATTAATATATATGCGGTATTCAAACAAACTCTCACTGATACATGCATCCAATAAATAGCAATGTCCTACCTCCACCCATGCCGTGATTATGTTGTGTTCTGGTGGAATGAAGTTTTTCACTTGACCGTTATTATCAGAATGATGAACAGAAACAAGGACAACTGGTGATGCATAAAAGGTGGTGTTAAACTGCAATTGCTGTAAAGAGAGAAAAACCCCAGGAGGTTTAACTGTATTCTATCAAGAGAAAATAAGATTCTATTCACTGACTTTACTTTTTTACACCGATCATTATACAGCAGGCGATAGAGCGGTTTTCAACTAATATAAATGTCGTGAAACCAAAACCAAAGCTATTACAATGGCCAATCACAACAAACTCAAACAACGCAATAAACCAATGAGAACTCGAAGCAAATACACGTAACCGGCGCCGGCGCCAAGCGCGGGAAAACGCGTGCGACCAAGTCGCGATTGGTTTTGCATCTGATTAGTTGAGTAGGTAATGCAAATTTTTCGAACCAATCATAGACCGTAGTAAAACAAAACCAAAGCAATTCCGAATGACTTGAAAACCGCTCTAAGCAACTAAATATTGCGTAATCATCAATCAGCTAAACAGTCTAAACAAGCTTACATTCCAAAATGTTTTCCATAATTTGATAGGCAAATCCGGTGAATTGCCGCAAAAACCAATCGTGAAACGACGTGAATAATAAAATGGAATGCAATGACTTCAGGCTTGTTTCAGCTCAATACTTTTCCTAAAATGTTTTGAGTTATTATGTTTATTTTGGACTATGGTGGCTTAGTTTTTTCCACAAATTTGTGGCGTTGGGGCTAGCAATACTTCTAGTCGGCTTCATGCTACGAAAACCGGCATAAGCTCCAGCAGTGTGGGCCAGTTTGGCCCGGAACGGCTTTACCTTTTTTTTTACAATGTATATACCGACAGCGCCAATTTTTTACCGCAACAACGTGCATGGTGCAAGGTTCATGCAAAAACTATACAAACTTGTAAAACCTCCGTTGACTGACACCTGCATGTCAAATACACTCACTTGACAGAAGCCATAGTTGTCATCAGCTGTTGGGGAGCCACTGTTGGGAAAAAGAGCTTCTCCTACCAACGTGAAATTAAAATCAGAACCATTGCCAAGGAAAGCAAACCAGTCCTGCACACAATAAACCAACAAACAAATAAATCCAAATTAGATGAAAGATGAGACATTTTCAAATCAAAATGAGAACAATTAGTTGGGAAACAGGTCCAGATAAGAAACAAGATGAAGAGATATACTGTCGAATACCCACGTATAAGAACCTTGTGATCAAGAACCTGTGGGCTAAAATTTTGGCATTTAAACCCCCATTATATAAGAACCTGTTGAGCCTGAAAATTGAAACAGGTTCTTATTTGGAACATCAGATTTGTAAAACTTTGAATTTGCACTGAAACTGTGTGGTACAGTATGAATGTTCAACCTGACCAGGCACGAATTGGTGTTTAGTTTTGTTGCAGTGTATAGGGCATAAACTAACCTGAAATAAATCAGAGGACGTAGAGCAGGGCGTGTACAGTATTTACTTAGAATGTAGCCTTACATATAATTTGTGTAATTATATGTTTCTTATACATAAGGAAGGGACCACACCCATATAGACTACACTTGTTTGACCAGCAGCTTGCAACTTTTCCTCTTAAGAAAATTAGAAATTATATATTTAAGAACTAAATAGCCTAAATTCTCAATAGACACCAATATATAAGAACCTTTTTAGGCTAACTTGGAAAAATCTAGG